AGGGGAAATTACTTATTACTCCTGAATAAGCAAGCCCGAGAAAGAGCCGTTGACTTACATTGACTTTTATTGGTCAAAGAATCGTTGTCGGGATCCGCGATTCGTTAGTAAAGCTTTCTTCTGCAACAGTGATTTTTTTATGGCGCTTGTCCGCGGAAATCCGGTGAAGTAGCGAGGAAAAGAAAATTCTTTCTGGGCTATCGGTCTTGTCTTTTTTTCTTTGTCTATCTTCTTTCTAATGTTTTCTGCCGCTAGCACATTTGGCAGGGCAGGAGCTCTTGGCGGCGAAGATGCCACTCCGCTAGCGGAAGAACGAGATATGGGCGCTCGCTGTCCACCGTGAAACGATCATCGTCCACCTTATGCGCGAAGAGTGTAGCACACAGCACAAGCGTGTGGTCCTTGGAATCATTGCTAGCGTGGAGCCTCGCATAACTGGGCGTTGACTGCATTCCGTTCGCCATGATCGAAGCAACGTTCCTCGTTTCGGTGCCGTGCCACAGGAACTTCCACACCGCTGGGTCGTCAGCTGGTTCGAATTCGTCACTGATGTTACCTGGTGATCATGCTCAAGCTGAAAAGAATTCCATAAGAAACAGTGAGCTCTTACCAAGATCGGGACGATACATTCGCAACCATTCATATGCTTCCGCAAACCGGGTGTAGGGAGCGTATGTCCCGCGATTCTGCACCGTGAGGAAATGATTCCGCTTGAGCGAGATGGGCACATCGGTGCACTCCGTGCTGTTGACCAGTTTCTGGATGAACGAACATGACACGATGCGGAGAGGCTGCATATCCTGAGCACGATTTCAAAGCTTAAATGCAGGCAAAGATCCGGACTAGGAAAATAGCATACCAATTCAAGTGCGTCGTCGTCATCCTCAATGTCAGCTTGGTCGTCTTGGAGATTCTGCATTAGAAAACTTTCTATCAGCAAAGTAAGCTAAAGCTGTGAACGAACCTTTTCCTTGGACTGTCGAGAGCACGCAGAAGCACACAAGGTTACCAGAGATGATAACGCCCAGCAACATAGACTCGCCAATCCTTGCTACAAAACACATATCGCTCGGACTCATTTTTTTGCAAGAACAACGCTTGTACCAATTTGTCGTGAGCTCGCGGGGCCTGGAATTCTGTAGAAGGAACTTTTAACGACTCTTAAAGAGAAGATCGAGTCAAATCTTTGAAAGCATACCGGTTGCTCGAGCGCTGGGTTCTCATTTCCCTGCATGAAAGATTATTGCCAGATTTCGAGACAAATCCTAGGAAAGAAATCTGCATTGTACCGGAAACTCGTCTAGAGGTTGCGCGGGTAGTCGAGGCTCATCGTTCTGTGGAACAGATCCACTACAGTGCTGCAGGCAAAGGGATTACAACGTAGAACAGTACCTTTTCCGAGATTTCTAGAATTTCTTCGTGACCTCCACTGCCAGGCTCCATCGCACGCTCGAAGTCTTTGCATTGGCGCCAGCAGCAGAAAGATTACAAATGCTTGACATTGGAGAAAGGATCGATCGAGCGCGACCACAGTACCTGCTGGCGGCCGGATTGGCCCGGGCGCTCACAAAGGCGATGGATTTCGACGGCCTAGCTGTCGGAGGCGAAGAGCGCGTACAGAGAATGCGATAACCTAGCAAGCAAGGGGCTCTTCTTCTCTCTGCGAGCTTAAACCTTCACAGCTCGCCCAACAGCAAATAGAAGCCGACCACGTGCAAGAATAGCATAATTCTGGCATCTTTTTAAAATTTCTCGCGCCTCTTTGTTGCCATATATAAGAAACCTAAAGCGCTATTCTTCTACAAGCTTTTAAAGGGGTTGTAGTGGTTTTCAAATTTTCAAGCCTGAAAAGAATACCCGGGTTCGACTCCTGGCATCCCCAACCTTGAACTTTTTGCTCTATCTAGAGCTGGATATATGTTCTTCCTTCTCAACTCCTGGATTTGAGCTTGCTCCTCCCTCATGCCATTGCTCGCGTAGATCGCCTCCATCAACAAATACCCCGCCTCGTGCCTTCAACCAGCCGATCGAAAGCAAGCTTTCCGACCGCCTCATTCTTCCACTTCTTGCAAGCGCCCAGCACCGTTCTCCAAGCAACACCACTCGCCTCGCAAGGCATGGCTTTCACCATCTCCACCGCTTCCTCCAGCTCGTTTGCGCGGCCGAGAGCGTCCACCATGCAGTGGTAGTGCTCGGCCCCGGGACGAACTCCATACTTCGCCTCCATCTCCTTGAAGTAGCACTTCGCTTGGTGGACAAGCCCGCCATGGCTGCACGCCGTGAGCAGGCAAAGAAGTGCGATCCCATCTGGTTGCAAGCCTTCGTCTTGCATCTCGTCGAAGAGCTTGAAAACCATTCGCGTGTCCCCGTTGCGGCTGTGTGCTGCTATCACGGACGTCCAGGCAACCGCGTCTGGTTTCTCCAGGGACTCGAAGACCTGCTGTGCCTTCGCTGCGTCCCCGGCTTTGCCATAGCCATCGACGACGCCGTTCGCGACAACGGGATCGTCCTCGAGTCCACACCTGGAGATATCTGCGTGAATTCCCTGCAGAGGCTCCAAGGCTCCCACGCTGCTGCTACCTTTGAGAGCAGCCACGAAAGTTGGCGCGTCGGGTCTGTATCCCTGTGCTCGCATTCGATGGAAGAGTTGCAGAGAAAGCTCCCCCTGACCACTTTCGGCGAGCCCGAGTATCATCACAGTCCAGGACACCGCGTCGTGAAGGCGCACCTTTTGGAACACCTTCCAGGCGTCCCGGATGCTTCCACACTTGGCGTAGAAGCTGACGAGCGCGCTGGCTAGAAAAGTGTCCGAGTCGAATTCAAAGCTGGCCGCCCGAGCGTGAATCCCCACGGCTTTCTCGAGTGCTCCTCTACTTTCACGAGCCTTCCATCCCCATCTGTCTTCCCTGCTAGACTGCTGCAAGCCTTGAGTGCCGCACATAACGTTCGAGAGGTTGGAACGCAGCTGCTGTTCACTTCCCCGTTTGTGACATATCCCAGGATCAAGGCGTTCCAAGAGACGGGATCCTGAGGCGTCATCCCATCAAAAACTTTCCGAGCGTCGGCCAAACTCCCACACTTGACGTACATGTTCACCAGTGCGTTCGCCACACTGACGTCCGTGTCGTAGCCACTCTTGAAAGCTTGAGAGTGCAAAGCTGCGCCTGTTCCCAGCGACTCAGCCTTCACCATCCTGCCTTCAACTTCCTTGGCTTCCTCTGTTGCTCCCAACACACTGCAGGCCCTATTTGTAGGTTTATTAGGTGCTGTGTGTTTTGATCTTGTCTATAAACCTAGTAATGAGCAAGATGACAGTTTTGATGAAGAGCCCAGGAGTCGTTGTTGTTTTTAAAATGCTGTTACCATATTTACTTGTTTACCAATAATATTAAACATAAAAGGATGTTTAAACACTGTGTGAAGATTCCCTGATTATAGACTCTTGACCATTTTGTAATTATAATTCCAGCTTAGAAAAATCTTATCTTTCTTTTATAAAGTTAATCTTTAATAGTTATAATAATAATTAGTTTTAGTAATTATTGTATAGGGTGGTTGTGGATATACCTATAATATTCTTAGATATCTAAAGACATTCTACCATCCAACAGTTGTTATTCATTTAGATTAATCTTATATTTATAATTTATAAACATTTTTATTAATTTTTAAGTATTATATTTAAAAAAAATTTAATTTATAAACTTTTCTAAACACTTCTTAGTATATTCTTGTTTTTTTTACCATCTTCAATAAGATTAATCTTGTGTTTATAATTATAAACTTCCAGTTGATTAATTGGATTAATAAATAAGAATAACACTATTATTAAGCAAACTAAGCATTGTTGCATACAAAGCATAATTGATGACTAAACAATATCATAACACAATCCAAATCTAACATCTATGTGATTGATTAAACAGAATTACCTCTAGTTAATTTATACTAGTAAGAAGATGCAAAAATAAACTAGACTTCACTTTTGAAGAATTGGAAACAAAAAAGAATAAAACTTTGAGCTAAAAATTAAATCACATCAACTTGCCAAACTTAGCAAACATTGCTAGAGCCAAAACACAAACCCATTTTGTAAGCCAAGTGAAAGTCAATTACATCTTAGACCTTCATAGACATGCTCTAGATTTGAGAATATGCCCCAGCACAATATCATTTCTACTACAGGGGATGGAGTAGTGCACCCTATTGAGATGAAATACAGCCGTCTGCTAAAGGTGATGGTGTTTGGCTGATAAAATCCATTTAGCCTTATCTCCCAAAACATCTCCAAAGACTCCTTGCTCCTTCCATTTTGAGCATAGTAAGAGAGGATCAAGATCCATGATACAATATCATGATGGTTCTATCCACGAATCTTGGAACACTAATATGGAGTTTCCACACTGGACATACATAGAGATTAATGTGTTCTTGCCTGCTGGCATCTCCCACGATCTAAGAGACTTGGCTTGTCACACCAGCACAAGCATCAATCATTGATAGTAGCTGAGATCATTGAGCTTGATACCATGAGCTTGGAAACTTTGAGAGCTCCCTTGCAATTCATGTGAAGCACTGACTTCTCTTACCAAGATTGGATGATCATGTCACATTGATTCATATGCAAACCAAGCACATTTGCACCGTGAGGAAAGGATTCCTCTTGAGCAAGACATGCACATCATGTTGTTCTGGAAAAATGAGAAAAGACACAATGTACAGAAGACTTAGAGGCATTTCCTGAGCTGGAAATGAAGGAGATGAATTAAGAAAATAACATACCAATTCAAATGTATTAGCTTCATGAGCTTTCGTTTTGTAGAGTTTGTATGTAAGCTAAAGGTTGTACCAGAGATGATAAAGGAACATATATAAGAAACCTAAAGCACTACTCTTCCACAAGCTCTTAAAGGGGGTGTAGTGGTTTCCAAAATTTCAAGCCTGAAAAGAATACCCAGGTTCGACTCTTGGCATCCCCAGCCTCAAGTTTTTTGCTCTATCTAGAGCTGGATATTCTTTGGTATGTTCTTCCTTCTCAACTCCTGAGCTTGCTCCTCCCTCATGCCACTGCTCGCGTAGATCGCCTCCATCAACAAATACCCCGCCTCGTGCCTCGCCTCCACTTCAACCAGCCGATCGAAAGCAAGCCTGCCGACCGCTGCATTCTTCCACTTCTTGCAAGCGCCCAGCACCGTTCTCCAAGCAACACCACTCGCCTCGCAAGGCATGGCTTCCACCATCTCCACCGCTTCCTCCAGCTCGTTTGCGCGGCCGAGAGCGTCCACCATGCAGTGGTAGTGCTCGGCCCCGGGACGAACTCCATACTTCGCCTCCATCTCCTTGAAGTAGCACTTCGCTTGGCGGACAAGCCCGCCATGGCTGCACGCCGTGAGCAGGCAAAGAAGTGCGATCCCATCTGGTTGCAAGCCTTCGTCTTGCATCTCGTCGAAGAGCTTGAAAACCATTCGCGTGTCCCCGTTGCGGCTGTGTGCTGCTATCACGGACGTCCAGGCAACCGCGTCTGGTTTCTCCAGGGACTCGAAGACCTGCTGTGCCTTCGCTGCGTCCCCGGCTTTGCCATAGCCATCGACGACGCCGTTCGCGACAACGGGATCGTCCTCGAGTCCACACCTGGAGATATCTGCGTGAATTCCCTGCAGAGGCTCCAAGGCTCCCACGCTGCTGCTACCTTTGAGAGCAGCCACGAAAGTTGGCGCGTCGGGTCTGTATCCCTGTGCTCGCATTCGATGGAAGAGTTGCAGAGAAAGCTCCCCCTGACCACTTTCGGCGAGCCCGAGTATCATCACAGTCCAGGACACCGCGTCATGAAGGCGCACCTTTTGGAACACCTTCCAGGCGTCCCGGATGCTTCCACACTTGGCGTAGAAGCTGACGAGCGCGCTGGCTAGAAAAGTGTCCGAGTCGAATTCAAAGCTGGCCGCCCGAGCGTGAATCCCCACGGCTTTCTCGAGTGCCTCCTCTACTTTCACGAGCCTTCCATCCCCATCTGTCTTCCCTGCTAGACTGCTGCAAGCCTTGAGTGCCGCACAAAACGTTCGAGAGGTTGGAACGCACCTGCTGTTCGTCTCGAAGATACTCAAGGCCTCTCCTGCTTCCCCGTTTGTGACATATCCCAGGATCAAAGCGTTCCAAGAGACGGGATCCTGAGGCGTCATCCCATCAAAAACTTTCCGAGCGTCGGCCAAACTCCCACACTTCAAGTACATGTCCACCAGTGCGTTCGCCACACTGACGTCCGTGTCATAGCCACTCTTGAATGCTCGAGAGTGCAAAGCTGCGCCGACTCAGCCTTCACCATCCTGCCTTCAACTTCCTTGGCTTCCTCTGTTGCTCCCAATACACTGTAGGCCCTGATGGCAGCGGCAAAACTGTACACATTTGGTAGAAAGTGGAAAAGGAACAGTATTTGAGTTTAGACTCAAAGAAATTTTTCCCTCCAATTTCCATATTCCTGCAAGTATGCAAGCTTTGAAAGTCTAGCTGCCACTTCGTACAAAGTTTGGACGTGTGGCACATCACCCTCATCAGATACATACAGCAGACGTATTTCAGGCCTTCTTAAGAGACAACAGTCAGCAGTTTTATTGGGTTGGTGTTGGCAACTCATCTGCAGCTGGTGGATGCTGAGAACAAGCTGCAGGACTTCTTTTTATTTAAACACAGGTATAAAAAATCTTTATAAAGCTCAATGTAATGTACTGTAACAGGGATGTTTATGAAGGGCAGCAAGCAACTGGGAAGAAAACTTTGAGAAAAAAATATGGACAATAAAGCAATGGATGAATGAAGGTATTTATTTTCTAGTTGTGGGAGGTTAATTGTGTGCCTTTTCTGGTCTTTATGACCGACCAGCATTGGGTAACTTGATTTCCAAAGTCAAAAAATCTGAAAGGATGGTGGTGCTTATGCCAAAGGTTCATCAATGTTTATGTCCAAGTTTTTTTAATGCTCTTATTATTAGTTTTTTTATGCTTTATTTGTAGGTGCTGTGTTGATCTTGTGTACAAACCTAGTAACAAGCAAGATGAGAGTACGAAGAGGAATCGTTGGTGTTTTTAAAATGCTGTTACCATATTTACTCGTTTACCAATAATATTAAACATTAAAGGATGTTTATTAGCTTTATATAAGAATTTTCCTAAGCTGGAATTATAATTCACGTCCATAATCGGGGATAAATCTTCACTAGTTATAATAATAATTAATTTTAGTAATTATTGGTTAACCTATAGGGAAATATAGATATTTAAGTATGTTCTACCATCTATCTGTTGTTATTCATTCAGATTAATCTTATATTTATCATTTATAACCATTTTTATTAATTAATTAAATAATTAATTTTATTTTGAAACTTTTTTATAATTTATAAACTTTCCTAAACACTTCCTAGTATATTCTAGTTTATTTTACCATCTAATCATTAATATTCAATAATATTAATCTTGTTTTTATAATTATAAACTTCCATTTGATTAATTGGGTTAATAAATAGGAATAAAACTACTATTAAGCAAACTAAGCATTGCTACATGCAAAGCATAATTGATAACTGAACAATATCTATAGCACAGTCATATCTATGTGATTGATTAAACAGAATTACCTTTAGTTAATTTATACTAGTAAGAAGAGGCAAACATAAACTAGACTTCACTTTGAAGAATTGAAAACAAAAAAGAATAAAACTTTGAGCTAAAATTTAAAATCCATCAACTTGCCAAATAAGCCAAGTATACAAACCCATTTCGTAAGCCAAGTAAAAGTTAATTACATCTTAGACCTTCACTCTGTCTTTGAGAATATCCAGCACAATATCGTCTCTACTACAAGGGATGGAATAGTGCACCCTATTGAGATGAAATACAGCTGTCTACAAAAGGTGATGGTGTGTGGCTAACAAAATCCATTTAGCCTTATCTCCCAAAACATCTCCAAAGACTCCTTGCTCCTTCCATTCTGAGCATAGCAAGAGAGGATCAAGTTCCATGATACAATATCATGATGGTTTTATCCATGAACCTTGGAACACTAATATGGAGTCTCCACACTGGCCATACATGGAGATTAATGTGTTCTTGCTTGCTGGTGTCTCCCATGATCTAAGAGACTTGGCTTGTCATACCAGCACAAGCATCAATCATTGATAGTAGCTGAGATCATTGAGCTTGATACCATGAGTCTGGAAACTTTGAGAGCTCCTTTGCAATTCCTGAGAAGCACTAACTTCTCTTACCAAGATTGGGATGATCCTGCAACATTGATTCATATGCAAACCAGGTGCATTTGCACCGTGAAGAAAGGATTCCTTTTGAGCAAGACATGCACATCATGTTGTTCTGGAAAAATGAGAAAAGACACAATGTACAGAACTTAGAGGCATTTCCTGAGCTGGAAATGAAGGAGACGAACTAAGAAAATAACATACCAAATCAAATGTGTTAGCTTCATGAGCTTTTGTTTTGTAGAGTTTGCAAATTTTGTATCAGCAACATAAGCTAAAGATTGTACCAGAGATGATAAAGCAACATAGACTCGGCATTACCAAGAACAACACTTAACTATATCTTGAAAATTAGATATACTGAAGTATTTAATTCATAACCTATTGAAAATACCTCAATCCTTGTTTATTTCAATGGAAGCAAGCAATGGATAAAGAAAACATGTCTATCATTCATTTGTATGCACATTTTCTATAAAGTGGTTCTTCCAATTTCAATTATAACTCTTAGGAGTTGATGGGTCAATAAGACAAAACTCAACTCTAATGGTTTTATCAACTGTCATAAAGTTTAACCCATTGTACAAGGCTACAAAAAAACAACATGGTATAGATTATCTTAAGACATACTCTTCAATGGTGAAGATGATAAGTGTTAAACTTTTGTTTACTTTTGCTATTTGAGATTTATCACATTGATATCAAGTCTACTCTCCTAAATAGAAATTTGCAAGAAGATCTATATTTAATAGCCAAAAGACTATACTTAATCTATATATCTTGTGGAAGTTAAAAAAAAGTTCTTTATAACTTTAAATAAACCTTTAAAGTATTGTGGTAGAAAATTAATACTTTTTTCAAAGCTGAAGGATTTTCTTACACTCCTAAATCCAATATTTATATCAAGTGATAAGGGAACAATTTATTTATTATTGCTCTCTACTATGATAAGTCATTTTGTATTAGCAAAAATTGTGAATATTTAGAGATTTTCAAGGCTAAACTTAGAAATTCTTTTTTAATAGAAGAACTTAGAGAAACTTTGATACTTTATTGATTTTAAGATTCACCATGATAGAAAAATAGAATCTTTTAACATCTCCCATAACAAAAATACTTGACTAAAGTACTTAAAAGTTGTGGATAAATCCTTCTCATTTGCCTATAAAACATGAAAATATTAAGTTTTTAACAAATGCTAAATGTCTAAGCCATAAAAATGTATTAATTTGAAATTTTCTTGGGAGTTTTATGTACGTTGTGGTGTGGCTTTGATTATCAACCAATTTTCTCCTAATTTTGGTAGAAAATATTGGAACATCTAAATCTGTGATATGCTATATAAAGCAAACTATTGCTTTTGGAGTGCTTTATAGTTCAAGTTATAATGACAGCAATTTGTTAGATTACAAAGGTAATCATAAATCCACAAAGGGTAGGGTTTTACTAAAAAAATAAATTTATATTAGGGTATATTGCTATTTTTAGGTAAATTCTTTGGTTTCAAGAATGTCTTGGAGGTTTTGGGCAATTCTCCATACCAATTGCTCTTTATGTTGATAAGAAAATAGTTAAAATACCGCAATACTAGAAGTTATGACATAATGTCAAAACACTATTACTATGTAAAGAATTTAGTATACAAAAATTACTAAAGGTTCAATACATTTTCTCTTGACAATAACTTGCCAAGATCTTTACAAAACCATTAGCCAAAATTTTATATGTGGAACATAAGAATTTTATTTAAGTCATAGCCATGCCTTGATTGAGGAGGAGGTAGTAGTAACCCTTAGCTTTAAAAAGAGTATTGGAGCCAAAAGTTAGATATATGCTTTGCATCATGGAGATCAAGAGTTATATTTAATGGCAATTTCAGGAGAGATTTCTAGATTTAGCTAACATCTAATTAGTAGTGCTTTTTTATTTCAAACAAAAAATTGTTTTTAGTTTCCTTTGAAAAGATTTAATTCATTTTTTGATCTCATTGCAGTAGCAATAGTCACACCCTTGGCTTTAGGAGTGTTGGAGCTGAAATCTAAAGTGTAATAAGTGGCTTAAATTATGGTGATAAAAATTCATATTCAATGTTAGATCAATGTAACTAGAATATAATTAGTAGTTCTTTCTTGTTTCAAAACACATAAACACTCATTGAATAAAAAACTTAATATATATTAAATATTTTAAAGAAATTGTATAAATAATTCATTGAAGCTTACACATACTCTATTACAATATAGATAGATACAGCACAACAAATGATTTCTTCTAACTGAAACAAAAGGTCATATACTTCAAAGTGTTTCATTTTATGTTATTCAAGGATATATTTTAACAAAAATAAATTAGCCTTTGTAGTTATGCCATAGGTGTAAGTAAGGACACACTCAGATAGCAACACACAAAAAATAAATAAGAGGTGCAAGTACACAAGTAGTATTATTATTTAGAAGAAGGCCAACCAACTTAATCTAATAGCAAACAAGAAATCCATGTCCAAATCAGCCATTAGGAGCTCTGAAAGTGGAAAAAAGGTGTTGATGCCTTTACAAGTCAATTGTTTTGAAGATATCAATGTCCATATATATAAATTATGACAATGACAAAAGCTCAAGAAAATAGAGCTTAATCTTGGGTTTGAAATTTAGGGTATGACAATGACAAAAGCCCAAAAAAATGAAATTTAATGTAAGTAACCAAAGAGAATGACTCAACAGAAAATCCATAAAGATTTAAATATAAAAGGAAAAGACCTATGAATAAAAGTACACCCTTTTTTCCAATTAATTAAGGGTTTTGGGATACTATGTCTTTGGGTTTAAATAGTACTGGGTTTGGGTTTGAATAGTATTGGGTTGGGATTAAACGTCCTTAGTACTAGATTAGGGTTAAACGTCATTGGGTTTGAATAGTATTAGGTTAAGTGGCTTCTTGAGAAGTCCAAATTCAAGAGCTAACATTTCATATTAGAGCAATCTTGGATTTGACTCTATTAGTTGGCTAGGGGAATCACACCATATATTAATTGATATTTAATAGGTTTAGCTGGGCTCGACTCGAGGGTTAGGGTGTCAAAAGAGTAGGGCTCTCGAGAAAGCTACGGGTTTTAACTTCAATTCACGAGGGCATGAATTTGTAAGGAAGGATAGTACATTAAACAAAAAAGAACAATTTAAAAGATGATTCATAAAAGTTTAAATATAGAGGGAAAAAATTTATAAATAAGAGTGTACCTTTTTTTTCAATTGATTAAGGGTCTTAAAATATTTGGGGTTAAACATTTTTAAGTTTGAATAGTATTGAGTTTGTGGCCTCTTTGGAAGTTCAAATTCAAAAGCTTACACTTAATCTTGGGTTTACACTTAGTTTTGGGTTTGAAGTTTAGAGTATGATAACCAAGAAAATGGAAGTTTAGGGTTTAGGGTAAAAAGTTAAACTAATTGCTTTTGAATTTTTTGTTTGCTTAAACAAATTTTTAAGAGAGTAAATATATTTTAATATGCTTGGATATTCTGGAATATTTTACAATCTAGTAGTTGTTATTCATTTAGATTAATCTTATATTTGTAATTTATAAAATTTTACTTTATACCATCTAATGATTGATATGTGGTAAGATTAATCTTGTATTTATAAATTATACACTTTCAACTTAAACATGATCATATTTTTAAAATAAGTTTTTCTAAATGGTGCTCAAACACTGTAAAGAGTATAGTTGGACTGTAAACACTTATAATATGGTTGATTTCAAGAAGTTATATTGTTATTTAAAGAGATCGAACTACATGTTTACTTAAATAGTTCATTATGGAGTATAATACGAAATCACTAGTTAAATATAAACTTGGAATTCTCAACAAAATTTATTTTTGGCATATAATTATTGTGAATGTATAATAAAAATGTGGTTTATCTTTTATGCCCATAATACTCATTCAGCTTCATATAAACTTTTCTCCTTTGCAAAAATTTGAGAATTTTTTTAATGAACTATACATTGAGCAACTTGATAAACAAGAATAACACTATTATTACATACACTGTTTGGCTGTCAAATTAAAGTAAAAGTATTATTAAGTATTGTCAAATTTGTAATTAAATTTCCAAACCGTCCAGCTCTTATAAAACTTGTCAATTCCTTGCAAGCTGAAAAGAGTAAGTGCTACCTCCAGCCAAGAATGGTCATCACATTCCATAAGCATTGGTCCTGATTGGCAAACTCTAGTTGTCACGATCTTCATCTCCGACATCTTGCAATCTTTGCTGCATGCGAATGCTGGATTTTTAACTTGGTTCCAAGCCATTCGGAAAAAGCTTGCACTTTGATAAATCAAACTTGATATTTCTTTTTAAGGCTTTGCGTGATGGAATAGCAAAAGAAAAAGACCCAAATTGACAAACCAACCTTGGCACAAGAATGATCTTGCTCCATGGCCCGACCTCGTCCCGTTCCATCGCATTTCTCTCAGGTCCCTAGCTCGGCCAGAGTCGAGACGAAAAGAGGAAATTAATTATTACTCCTGAATAAGCAAGCCCGAGAAAGAGCCGTTGACTTACATTGACTTTTATTGGTCAAAGAATCGTTGTCGAGATCCGCGATTCGTTAGTAAAGCTTTCTTCTGCAACAGTGATTTTTTTATGGCGCTTGTTCGCGGAAATCCGGTGAAGTAGCGAGGAAAAGAAAATTCTTTCTGGGCTATCGGTCTTGTCTTTTTTTCTTTGTGTATCTTCTTTCTAATGTTTTCTCCCGCTAGCACATTTGGCCGGGCTGGAGCTCTTGGCGACGAAGATGCCACTCCGCTAGCGGAAGAACGAGATATGGGCGCTCGCTGTCCACCGTGAAACGATCATCGTCCACCTTATGCGCGAAGAGTGTAGCACACAGCACAAGTGTGTAGTCCTTGGAGTCATTGCTAGCGGGAGCCTCGCATAACTGGGCGTGGGTGTGAACCAGAAGTAAGTCTCAGGCCTCCCGTAAGCATTAGCCCAGCTTGACTGCATTCCGTTCGCCATGATCGAAGCAACGTTCCTCGTTTCGGTCCCGTGCCACAGGAACTTCAACATTGCTGGGGCGTCAGCTGGTTCGAATTCGTCACTGATGTTACCTGGTGATCATGCTCAAGCTGAAAAGAATTCCATAAGAAACAGTGAGTTCTTACCAAGATCGGGACGATACATTCGCAACCATTCATATGCTTCCGCAAACCGGGTGTAGGGAGCGTATGTCCCGCGATTTTGCACCGTGAGGAAAGGATTCCGCTTGAGCGAGATGGGCACATCGGTGCACTCCGTGTTGTTGACCAGTTTCTGGATAAACGAGCATGACACGATGTAGGGTAGCCCTCGGAGAGGCTGCATATCCTGAGCACGATTTCAAAGCTCAAATGCAAAGATCCGGACCAGGAAAATAGCATACCAATTCAAGTGCGTCGTCGTCATCCTCAATGTCAGCTTGGTGAGCTTGGTCGTCTTGGAGATTCTGCATTAGAAAGCAGGAGATTCTGCTTTCTATCAGCAAAGCAAGCTAAAGCTGTGAACGAACCTTTTCCTTGGACTGACGAGAGCACGCAGAAGCACAGAGGGCTACCAGAGATGATGAGGCCCAGCAACATAGACTCGCCAGTCCTTGCTATAAAACACATATCGCTCGGACTCATATTTTGGCAAGAACAACGCTTGTACCAATTTGCTGTGAGCTCGCGGGGCCTGGAATTTAGCACAAGAAACTTTTAACGACTTTTAAAAAGAAGATCGAGTCAAAGCATACCGGTTGCTCGAGCGCCGGGTTCTCATTTCCCTGCATGAAAGAATATTGCCAGATTTCGAGATAAGTCCTAGGAAAGAAATCTGCATTGTACCGGAAACTCCTCGAGAGGTTGCGCGGCTAGTCGTGGCTCATCGTTCTGAGGAACAGATGCACTATAGCGCTGCCGGCAAAGGGATTATAACATCGCACCGTACCTTTGCCGAGATTTCTAGAATTTCTTCGTCTCCTCCACTGCCAGGCTCCATCGCACGCTCGAAATCTTTGCATTGGCGCCAGCAGCAGAAACATTAGAAATGCTTGACATCGGAGAAAGGATCGATCGAGCGCGATCACTTGCCTGCTGGCGGTCGGAAGCAGGATTATAAGAGCGCGAGGCTCGGGCGCGCATGGATTTCGAGCTGTTGGAGGCGAAGATGCGATAACCTAGCAAGCAACGGGCTCTTCTTCCCTCTACGAGCTTAAACCTTCACAGCCTCGCCAAACAGCAAATAGAAGACGACCACGTGTCAAAATAGCATATTCTGGCATCTTTTCAAAATTTCTCCCGGCTTCTTATTTTTCTCTTTAATAGTTGCCATATATAACAAACCGAAAGCGCATTTCTTCTGCAAGCTCTTAAAGGGGGTGTAGTGGTTTCCAAATTTTCAATACTGAAAAGATTTCCCGGGTTCGACTTCTGGCATCCCCAACCTTAAATTTTTTGCTCTATCTATACCTGGATATTCTTTGGTATGTTCTTCCTTCTCAACTCCTAAACTTGAGCTTGCTCCTCCCTCATGCCACTGCTCGCGTAGATCGCCTCCATCAACAAATACCCCGCCTCGTGCCTCGCCTCCACTTCAACCAGCCGATCGAAAGCAAGCCTCCCGACCGCCGCATTCTTCCACTTCTTGCAAGCGCCCAGCACCGTTCTCCAAGCAACACCACTCGCCTCGCAAGGCATGGCTTCCACCATCTCCACCGCTTCCTCCAGCTCGTTTGCGCGGCCGAGAGCGTCCACCATGCAGTGGTAGTGCTCGGCCCCGGGACGAACTCCATACTCATCTCCTTGAAGTAGCGCTTCGCTTGGTGGACAAGCCCGCCATGGCTGCACGCCGTGAGCACGCAAAGAAGTGCGATCCCATCTGGTTGCAAGCCTTCGTCTTGCATCTCGTCAAAGACCTTGAAAACCATTCGCGTGTCCCCGTCACGGCTGTGTGCTGCTATCACGGACGTCCAGGCAACCGCGTCTGGTTTCTCCAGGGACTCGAAGACCAGCTGTGCCTTCGCTGCGGCCCCGGCTTTTCCATAGCCATCGACGACGCCGTTCGCGACAACGGGATCGTCCTCGAGTCCACACCTGGAGATATCTGCCTGAATTCCCTTCAGAGGCTCCAAGGCTCCCACACTGCTGCTAGCTTTGAGAGCAGCCACGAAAGTTGGCGCGTCGGTTTTGTATCCCTGTGCTCGCATTCGATGGAAGAGTTGCAGGGAAAGCACCCCCTGACCACTTTCGGCGAGCCCGAGTATCATCACAGTCCATGACACCGCGTCGTGAAGGCGCACCTTTTGGAACACCTTCCAGGCGTCCCGGATGCTTCCACACTTGGCGTAGAAGCTGACGAGCGCGCTGGCTAGAAAAGTGTCCGAGTCGAATTCAAAGCTGGCCGCCCGAGCGTGAATTCCCACGGCTTTCTCGAGTGCCTCCTCATCTGTCTTCCCTGCTAGACTGCTGCAAGCCTTGAGTGCCGCACAAAACGTTCAAGAGGTTGGAACGCAGCTACTGTTTGTCTCGAAGATACTCAAGGCCTCTTCTGCTTCCCCGTTTGTGACATATCCCAGGATCAAAGCGTTCCCGAGACGGGATCCTGAGGCGTCATCCCATCAAAAACTTTTCGAGCGTCGGCCAAACTCCCACACTTGACGTACATGTCCACCAATGCGTTCGCCACACTGACGTCCGTGTCGTAGCCACTCTTGAATGCTTGAGAGCAAAGCTGCGCCTGTTCCCAGCGACTCAGCCTTCACCATCCTGCCTTCAACTTCCTTGGCTTCCTTTGTTGCTCTTAATACACTGCAGGCCCTGATCGCAACAGCAAAACTGTACACATTTGGTAGAAAGTGGAAAGGGAACAATATTTAAGTTTAGAATCGAAGAAATTCTTCCCTTCAATTTCTGCATTCCTGCAAGTATGCAAGCTTTGAAGTTCCGGCTGCCACCTGGTACAAAGTTTGGACGTCTGACACATCAGCCTCATCAGATACATATAGCAGATGTATTTCAGGCCTTCCTAAGAGACAACAGTTAGCAGTTTTATTAGGTTGGTGTTGGCAACCGTGGACCTGATAGCATCATCCATTTACAGCTGATGGATGCTGAGAATAAGCTGCAGTACTTCTTTTTATTTATTGAGAGCAAACACAGGCATACAAAATCTTTATAAAGCTCAATATAATGTACAGTAACAAAAATGGACAGCAAGCCAATTGAGAAGAAAACTTTGAGAAAAAAATATGGATGATAAAGCAATGGATGAATGAAGGTATCTATTTTCTAGTTGTGGGAGGTTAATTGTGTGCCTTTTCTGGTCTTTATGACAGATCAAGCATTGGGTAACTTGATTTCCAAAGTCAAAAAATCTAAAAGGATGGTGGTGCTTGTGCCAAAGGTTCATCAATGTTTATATGGGTAAGAGTCCAAGTTTTTTTAAAGCTCTTATTATTAGTTTTCTTTATGCTTTATTTGTATGTGTGTTTTGATCTTGTGTACAAACCTAGTAACGAGCAAGATGGCAGTTTTGATGAAGAGCCCAGCACGAAGAGGAATCGTTGGTGTTTTTAAAATGCTGTTACCATATTTAATATTAAACATAAAAGGATGTTTAAACACTATGTGAAGATTTATCCTGTGTGTTTTGTCATTATAATTCCAGCTTAGGAAAATTCTTATATAAAGCTAATCTTCAATAGTTATAATAATAATTAATTTTAGTAATTATTGGTTAACCTATAGGGGTGGAAATACTTAGAATATTCTTAGATATTTAAGGATATTCTACCATCCAATGGTTGTTATTCATTTAGATTAATCCTTTATTTATAATTTATAAACATTTTATTATTTTATATTAATTTTTATTAATTATTTTTGAACTTTTTTATGTTGTATAAACTTTCCTAAACACTTCCTAGTATATTCTAGTTTATTTTACCATCTAATCATTTAATCTTGTGTTTATATTTATAAACTTCCATTTGATTAATTAGGTTAATAAATAGGAATAACACTATTATAAAACTTTGAGCTAAAAATTAAAATCTATCAACTTGCCAAATAAGCCAAATGAGCCAAATAAGCCAAATCAGCCAAATAAGCCAAATGAGCCTGGAAACTTTGAGAGCTCCCTTGCAATTCATGAGAAGCACTAACTTCTCTTACCAAGATTGGGATGATCCTTTCACATTGATTCATATGCAAACCAGGTGCATTTGCACTGTGAAGAAAGGATTCCTTTTGAGCAAGACATGCACATCGTGTTGTTCTGGAAAAATGAGAAAAGACACAATGTACAGATGACTCAGAGGACAGGAGCGAGTGGTCTGGATTGAAACCAATCCGACGGCTACCAAAATCCCACTACGCTAATATTAGTATACGGCATCGTAGCCATACACTTGACCCTCACACTATAAAAATTATTAAATATTTATTTCAAAATTTGTATAAAGGTTATGATTGTGCCATAATTGAAATCCATTCAGTAACATAACAACCTAAATTGGGATGAAATTTCATCTTTTTTAAATACATGTTATATATCTACTCTAGAGGTGATCTAGAGACTTTCTAAATTTAAAATGCATGGTCATTCAACCCTTTTAATCCGACTCCTATCCATCTTCTAAAATTTTAAAATGTCTATTTTATAAAAGGTTCTAAACAAATAACACTTCAAAAAGCTACTCAAAATGGTATAATATTGATAAAATAATTGAACTAAATATAAATGACCTAAATGCTAGACAATATCCATTTCCTAAAATAACTAACAATATACCATCCTGTCCTTTATATCAGGTATGGAGGACACCACCTCTGCCGCCACCCTTCAAGCTGTAAAGCTCCTCCTCTACTTCTTGGTAAGTTGCTCTAGATTTTGAATTAAGTCAAAGTGTTCTAGTCAAACTGTTAGTTGGGAATGTAAACATTTTTTGTGCATTTATATTATACATTTAACTTTACACTTATTGGCAAATTTGACATACAAGAAATGTTATTCCCCAAATGTATTCTATGTCACTATCCAATGTTAAATTATGTCACTTATATATAATTTTCCTCCATAAAAGAGGTGTTACATCTTATAACAACTTTGTAAGCAACCAAAGAGAACTGTAAGAGACTAATGTTTCCATTATATTTTAGCCACTTAATCACACTTTTGACTATTTAGAGAAGTCTCACTCATAACCTCCATAAGTTTTATTCCTGCATTGGGGACATGCTATCCTCTTGAATGGCATCTATGCCATTTAACCTTTGCACTTGGTCTAAGTGCTTTATGTGTTCAATCCCATAAATAACATCTAAAGGTACCACTGACATATCGGACTGTTACACTAAATACATGTTCATTCACCCTTGTCACGTCGATAATACAAAACCATTTGCATCATAATCCCGTCTCTTAAAGACTGGGCCATCTCTCTATGACTGGTCATCCTTTGACCACATTTTAGCACCTTTATGATGCCCAAAAATATGGGAAACACCCTTATCCAATGTCTTTTATTCCATTCCCACTAAGTCCCTTTCTATCCACGGCCGTGCTTACCAACACTACCACCAAGTTAAGGCCCAAAGGCCCGACCACTAAGGGTGGGTTCCATGTGTCCCCCACCTGGAAATTTCTCACCTTAAAAAACAAAAACTTCCCCCTTCTAAAATTTTAAGGTTATATGTAACCCACCCTTAAAAATGCTATGTGATAATATAGTTTTTCCCAACTTAGTTAAATTCATTTTGTCTTTTTCAAGTAATAATTACTATTTTTATATGTGGCACTATTTTATTAACTTGTTCTACTGAGTTCCAGGCATTAGAAGAAATTTTCAAAGGGGACACCAAATTCCCCCTTCCCTCAAATTCCATTGCTATGTCAGTGGGGTGCATGGAACAAGGGGTTAAAAGTTTCCCCTCTTGAAAAACTTCCCTTAAAGGGACACATGGAACCCCATCCTAAGTTCCACTAACCTTTGGGACTTCTTCACTATGTGATTGTATCCTTGGTCACTACACCAAAAAATTACTCTTTTTTCCTTTCATAGTCTGGGACTTTGGGATGATATTTTAAAACACCATGGCTCTACACGAACCTTGTGGTACTCTCTCCACCTTCCATCCTTAAGTGCCCTAACCATATGGTTAAAGTGAGGTTTTGATGAGCTATATTAAGTATCCAAGTAAATAGTGCCACCCACATTTGGATTAGGAGCATTGACCATTCGATCTCCTAGAAGAGCTAGAGTTAACTTTTGAACACTTCACCAAGTACCCCATTTGCTTGTCCATATTCACTCTAGCCTTGGGACTCGTCAGTGGTAATATTATCACCCAACACGTGAGTATATCCTTCCTTCATCACACTGGCATTTCCTAACTAAATTGGCTCCACTAGAACCTTCCCTCTACACTCTCCCTAATATACTTTTGGAACCCCTTGCATCCTGCCCTCTGGGAGACGATCGCTTTGGGCTTTCACCCCACATACCCTTTATTGGTTTTCAGACTTAAACTTGGACTTGGATTCGGTCTCAGACTTGATCTTGGTCTTGATCTCAATCTTGGTCTCCACCTCGGGTCCATCTTGGACTCCATCTCAGGTCCATCTCAAACTCCATCTTGGACTCCATCTCGGGTTTATCTTGGACTCCATTTTAGGTCTATTTGGGACTCCATCTTAAGTCCATCTAGGACTCCATCTTGGTCCATCTTGGACTCCATCTTGGGTCCATCTCGGACTCCATCTTAGGTCCATCTCAGAATCCATCCCAAACTCTATCTTGGACTCCATTTAGGGTTTATCTCAGGTCCATCTCAGACTCCATCTCGAACTCCATCTCAGGTCCATCTTGGACTTAGGGTTGTAGTGCATGTGATCATGGGATGAGATTTGGATATACTGTCACCGTGGATCCTTGGAACCTTGGGGGATAAATGGGGATAAAATAGCCACTAAGGGCTCTCTCATCAAGCAATTGCCCCTTTTTCAGTTGGTTTAAGGGGAGAGAGATAAGGTGCGTTACAGTTGGTATCGAAGCAAATGGCACGGGTTCGATTCCCATTAATTAGTGGCTACTTAAAAGTATAATATACCCTTGAACAAGGTATATTCCTACCTCTAAATTTGAAATCGTACATATTGGGCATCCGTATGTCCTTCCTCTTGTGTGGAGTATCCACGGACGAAGGTATCCACCGTGGGACTGCGGTACGGGTGGATGACTAGTTGCTTCACATGGAATAGCTAATCTACACAATGGAAGGATTGGTAGATTAAGTGCGGAAATGGAGGTGCTGGTTCCCCTTGGTTTAATAGGGGTTGTTAGTCAATAGTCAATGAGTGCGGAAATGGAGGTGCTGGTTCCCCTTGGGGGATAAATAGGGATAAAATAGCCACTAAGGGGTGAGTGTAGCGCATGTGATCATGGGATGAGATTTGGATATACTGTCACCGTGGATCCTTAGAACTTTAAACCAAGGGTTGTTAGTTAATAGTCAATAAGGACATTGACATCTCTCAAGGATGAGATTTGGATATACTGTCACCGTGGATCCTTGGAACTTTAAACCAAGGGTTGTTAGTCAATAGTCAATAAGGACATTGACATCTCTCAAGGGGGGGTGAGTGTAGCGCATATGATCATGGGATGAGATTTGGATATACTGTCACCGTGGATCCTTGGAACCTTGGGGGATAAATGGGGATAAAATAGCCACTAAGGGCTCTCTCATCAAGCAATTGCCCCTT